ATATTTTGTTTGATATAAGTATAGCTCTTGGTTTTCATTTGCATTGAATATCTTTTTCCATCTCTTTACCTTGAGCTTATATGTGAACTTAAAACTGAAGTGAATCGCTAGTAGACAGTGTATAGTTGGGTCTTATTTTTATCCATTCAGTCACTTTATGTCTTTTTATTGGAGAATTTAAATCATTTACATTAAAGTAATTTTTAATAGATAAAGACTTACTATTGCCATCTTATTGTTTTCTGGCTGTTTCATAGTTCCTTTTCTTCTTTCTTCCTCTTTTGCTGTCTTCCCTTGTAATATGGCAGTTTTCTGTAGTGTTATGCTTTAATACTATAGAATGTTATTTTTTTTTATCTTTTGTATATCTATGATAAGTTTTCTTTGTGGTTACCATGAGGCTTACATAAAACATAGTTATAACAGTCTATTTTAAACTTAAAACAACTTAACCTTGCATACAAAAACTTGTATCTTTTTACTGTCTTTCCTCCACATTTTGTTTTTTATTTCACAGTGCACATGTTTTTATATTGTGTATCCATTAAGAAATTATATACTTATTTTAATAGTTTGGTCTTTAACCTTTATACTAGAGTTAAGTGATTTATACACCATCATTACAGTATTAGAGTATTTTGAATTTGACGATATACTTACCTTTACCAGTGAGTTTCATATTTTTAGGTTTTCAGGTTACTAATTATTGTTCTTTCATTTCACTTTGGAGAACTCACTTTAGCATTTCTAGTAAGGCAGATCTAGTGGTAATGAACTAACTGAGCTTTTGTTCGTTTGGGAAATTCTTTATTTCTCCATTTCTAAAGGACAGCTTTGCCGGATTAAGTATGTTTAATTGGCTTATTTTTCTCTTTCAGCCTTTTGATTATATCATCTCACTCTCTCCTGAACTGCAAGTTTCTGCAAAAAAAAAAAAATCTGTTGGTAGTCTAATGGGTTCCCTTGTATGGGAGAAACTTTTTTTTTTCTCTCTAGGAAGAATTTTTTTCTACAGAGTGAGTAACACATAAATAAAAGTAGAACCTGACGTGCTGTGCTTTCTCACACTGCCTTCCCTCTGGCCAGCTTGCTTATCTGCTTGTTGAAGCATCTACTTAGTCTTCAGGGTCCACTGCATGGAAATTTGTTTTAATAACACCATAAACACAACTGCATGTTGTGCATGTTGAACTAGCTTCCATCGGAAGAGAAAAAGTCAAAATTTCATAGGCAGCTAGGAAAACCCATTTCTGATCTTGAGTGAAAAGCTTTCTTTCTTTGCCCTGATAGTTACTTTGAATAGTACAATATCTTCCACAAGGCCTGGTCAGTAGGTGTTTGGGGTAATGAATATTCTAATTTCTGCCTTTGATAGCCAGTAATTCTTTAGTATTATTTAGCCCTTAGTAAGTAAACACTAAGCCCTGTGTGTCACCTACTGAAAACAAGATCCTAAATGTCACCACTGTCTTCAAGGATTTCACTATCCAAAGGGGGAAATAGAAACGCAGTAAACAAAAGTGTAATGTGTAAGCACTATAAGAGTGGTGTGATCACTCCACCCCTGAGGAGTGTGTGTTTATGTTTCTAACATCCCAGCAGTTTTACCACTCTTAAAATGTTTGTGTTGGGTTGGGGTTCATGGTTGATCTGTGTTTTAGAAGTTAGCTGTGTTGTGTTAACTGTTTAATGTTTTCAGGAAGAGGCATTATTTCACCTTCATTTTATCCCAAGGAACACATTAATGAGGTATTTTGTCAAAAGTAGCAGCAGTTTTTGAGGGCTTATTATGTGCAGGATGCCGAGCTGTGTGTAAGGGGCATGCAGAGTTGTAAAGCACAGTTCCTCCTTTGAAAAGCAGAGTCTTTGGGAGAAGTAACATTTAGAGAGAGGACAAATACAATGCAGAAGCAACTTAAATTTCTGCAGGGTTCTATAGTTTTTAATGTGCCTTCACATTTCTTTTTTTTTTTTTTTAATATATCTTTATTGATTTTAGAGAGAGGAAAAGAGGGTGAGAGAGAGAGATAGAAACATCAATGATGAGAGAGTCATTGATCAGCTGCCTAGCCCGCAACCCGGGCATGTGCCCTGACCGGGAATCGAACCCCGATCACCTGGATCCCAGGTCGATGCGCAACCTCTGAGCCACACCCAGCTGGGCCACGTTTATTCTTTATAATAAACCTGTTGGGCAGGTTATTGGAAATACTGATTTTATGAATATGAAAATTTAGTGGCTTTCCACAATTACACAACTGTGTGCCAGAGACAACACTTGAAGCCACCTGACTTTAATCTGTAGCTCCTCTTACCTTGACTCAGTAAAAACTGACTAGTTCACATGGAAATCAGAGGAAAAGTCTTTTTTTTTTTAATTTTTAAATTTTATTTTTGTTTAAAATATTACAGATGTCCCTTTTTCTCCCCAATGACCCGTTCCACCCCGTCCCATCTCCCTCCCCAGTCCCTGTCCCCACCATTGTCCGTGTCCTTGGGTTGTGCATATATGCATATAAATTCTTTGGTTACTCTCTCCCCCTCCACCCACCCGCCCTCCTCCATCCCTCTGACATTCGTCAGTCTCATCTATGCTTCCATGTCATTGAATCTATTCTGTTCATCAGTTTATTAAGTTCTTTAGATTCCACGTATAAGCGAGATCATGTGATGTTTGTCTTTCTCTGCCTGGCTTATTTCACTTAGCATAATATTCTCCAGGTCCATCCATACTGTCCCAAAGGGTACGAGATTCTTCTTCTTTACAGCTGCGTAGTATTCCATGGTGTAAATGTCCCACAGCTTTTTTATCCACTCATCTACTGATGGGCACTTGGGCTGTTTCCAGATCTTAGCTATTGTAAACTGTGCTGCTATGAACATCGGGGTACATATATCCTTTCTGATGAATGTTTCAGGATTCTTAGGATACATTCCTAGGAGTGGAATCACTGGGTCAAAAGGCAGCTCCATTTCTAATTTTTTGAGGAACCTCCATACTGTTTTCCATCATGGTTGCACCAGTCTGCATTCCCACCAGCAGTGTGCCAGGTTTCCCCTTTCTCCACACCCTCGCCAGCACCTGTCGTTTGTTGATTTGTTGATGGCAGCCATTCTGACAGGTGTGAAGTGATACCTCATTGTGGTTTTAATTTGCATCTCTCTGATAATTAGTGATGTTGTGTCTCATGTGTCTCTTGCCCATCTGTATGTCCTCTTTGGAGAAGCGTCTATTCAAGTCCTTTGCCCATTTCTTAATTGGATTGTTTGCCTTCCTCTTGCTGAGTGATATGAGTTCTTTGTACACTTTGGAAATTAGCACCTTATCAGATACATCCTTGGCAGATATGTTTTCCCAGACCGTGGGGTTCCTTTGTATTTTGAGGCGAGGAAAAGTCTTAATGAGCCCTGTCCAGACACCAAAGAGTACATCAGGATTTGGAGTGCAGAGAAGAAATGGTGTCTGGGCTGGGCCAAGACCAAATGCTGAGCAGAGAGCAAAAATATGAAAGTTGGAGTTGAGAAAAACCCAAGAAACAGAATCCAAAGGGAAATCTGAGGAGAGAGCTCTTAGGGATTTTGTGAAGAGAAAGAGTGGGAAACCTGAGAATTTGTGAGGGCAGCTTTTAGCCCAGCCCAGTTGTAAAGTCTCTTTAGAAACCTAGTCCCTTCCCTGCTGGTCTTCCAGGCAGATGGCATTCTGATTCTAAATTTTAACAGGATTAGTAAGGTGCAAGGATGCTTATTTGTATTTTGCATGAATTACACAGTCATATGTTATAGTTTATACATGGCTGGTCTTATTTCAGATATTTTATTTCCAAGGTTTGTATTTTAGAACCTCACTTTCTGAACATTGTATGTTGACGAAATGTTCTGTATCTGCTACATTTCAAGTGCTTGGTAGACACATGTGGCTAGTGGTCACCATATTGGAGAGAATGGTAAACATAAATTTCTTTTTTAAAAATGTTTTTTAAAGTAATACATGCACATGTAAAAACATTCAGAGTGTTTAGAAAGTAAAAAATGAAAAGTAGAAGTATCTTCCCCTGTCTTTCCCTCAACCTCTATCTCTTTCTTCAGTGATAGTCACTATTAAAACTCTTGTTTCCATTCAGGAAAAAAAATATATCTACCATAATTTTATATGTATATGCTTTTTATAAATCACAAACATTGATTATACTAGGTATACTGTTTTATATCTTTTCAAAAAATGAAAACTTTGATATCTTGATGCAGCAATACATTTAGCTCTAATTCTCTGTTTTAAAGGATTTTTTTGTTAGGAAATGGAATTTATTCATTACATATTCTAGGCTTTTACGTTGTTTCCTTTTTTTCTTTTTTGCTGTTCAAATAATGCTATAACATGTACATGGCCATTGTTTTGTATGCTTGTAAGGAAGATTCCCAGTAGTGCAATTGCTGGATGGTCCTTCATGACAAGCGCTGTTTCTAAGCAAGGAGGGAGTAGAGAACCTGGTGTGGGGGTGGGGCATAAACAACAGACTGGTAGAAAAGGGAGCCAGAGGTAAAATGAGGGTAAAACACTTTGGCTGTGAGACAAAATAATAAATATTTGTATCAACATTCTCAAAGGTAGCCTTTAAGTTTATTCAGTACCATCCCTGCTGGAAGTACTGAACAAAAATGTTTTAAATGCCAACGTATTTTATTGCAAATATATATATTTATGTATATACTATATGTATATATGTATATACTGCTCTTGTGTTTAGTTTTATTATAAAGATATTGCATATTTATTATATACAGGTTGGAAAAATGTAAGAAAGAATAAAGCAGAAAACAAATTTCACCCATACTCAGAGAAAACCAACATTAATACTTTAATCACTTTTTTCTGTGTTTGGGTTTTTGCATCGCTGAGACCATATTGTATATACACGTGTTTGTATCTAAACTTTCCCATGCTCATCATCTCAATCTTGTTGATTTTCTTTTATTACTCTTTGCCTGCTTTGTTTTTTTAGGTAATAGAAACCTAACATTGTTTTGGAATGAATTTGGATACCAGAATAACAGGGACATGGAGAGGTCTTTAGAGTCTGTTCAGTATCAAAGGAGACAAGCCATGGCCATCCCGTTCATCATTCAATGTGGTGAGTGTTGAATTCCATTTTAATTAGCAGTCATTTACTGAGCTTCTAAATATACAGGTCACTGTGTCCATAAATGGGGTGAGGGAGACAGAGGTGGTGGGTAAAACCTGATATATATATATATATATCTTTATTGATTTCAGAGAGAGGAAAGGAGAGGGAGAGAGAGAGATAAAAACATCAATGATGAGAGAGTCACTGATCGCCCGCCCCCACCCCCCAACTGGGGATTGAGCCCGCAACCCAGGCATGTACCCTGACCGGGAATCGAACCCCGATCGCCTGGATCCCAGGTCACCACTCAACCGCTGAGCCACACCCGGCTGGGCTAAAACCTGATTCTTACCTGCAGTGAGGTTAGGGTCTAGGAGAAAGGTTAAGATAAGCGTGAAAATAATTATAATAGATGTGAAATTCAGATAAATGATGTAAAAGAGGCACAAAGTTCTTGGAAGGTTCCAGGGGGAAGAGGAGGAAGTTGAGGCAAGGCTTCATGAGAGAAGTAGCCTTTGCCATGATCTTTTAAAACAAAATTTTGATAGGTAGAGATATAACAGGACATATATGTTAATATCAGGTATACATTCAGCTAAAACTTCAGGGATAGAATAATAGAAACAGTCATCTTTCTATTTTTAATAACTAGTACTGTGTTAAATATATAATTGGTACTTAGTAATTGACTACTGAATGAATGATGAATAAATAAAAAATATATATATTAGGTTGAATAAACATGTTAGAGGGCCTTGAATGCCAGGATAGGGAGTTTTTACTTTGATAAGCAATGGAGAGGCGTTGGACATTATTCAGTAGGAGAGTAACATCACTGAGGCATTGAGTACTTATTGTGTTCCTCTGCTACATCTTCTGGCTACTATATAAAGGGTTAGAGAATTAAAGATCGCTCTACTATCTGCAAGGAATCTGCTATCCAGTGAGGGAGCCAAGCAAACAAAAAGTACACTGTAGTGTGTAAAACGTTGTAGTTATTTACACAGTGCCAGCCGCATACCTCCCTAACCTTGAGCCTCGGGTGGTCCAAAGAAGACCTAACTGGTCAGATGTGTTCAGGGTGCTGCCAGAATCCAGTCTCCAGTACTATAGAGCTATGTGAAATTGGGCAAATCCTTTAAGTTCTCTAAGTCTCAGTTTCCTTATGTATAGCATGAGGTATAGCTACATCATACAGTTTTGTGCAAAAAAATGTAATAACACATGTAAAGTTTTTTAAGTGCCTCGCATTGTGTATTAGGGTTCTTCAGAGAAACTGAACCAATAGAATGGATGGGTGGCTGGATGGCTGGATGGGTATATATATAATGATAGATAGATATAAATTAGAGAGAATTGGCTCACATGATTATGGAGGCTAACAAGTCCTAAGATCTTCAGTTAGCAAGCTGGCGACCCAGGAGAGCATTGGTTTAATTCCAGTTTGAGTCTGAAGGCCTTTGAACCAAGAGACCCAATGATGTAGTTACAGGCTAAGTGCTGACAAGCTCAGTGCCCAGGAAGAACTATGTTTTAATTTGAGTCTGAAGGCAGGAAAAAGCTAATGTCCCAGCTCCAGACAGCCATGAAGAAGTTCCCTTTTCCTCTCTAGACGGTCAGCCTTTTTTTGTTTTATTTAGGCCTTCAACTGATTGGATGACGTCCACCCACATTAGGGAGGACAATCTGCTTTACTCAGTCTACCAATTCAAATGTTAATCTCATTCAAAACACCCTCACAGACATACTCAGAATAAAGTTTGACCTACTGTGTGGGCACCCCACGGCCCAGTCAAGTTGACATAAAATTAATCATCACAGATAATGTCTAGTAATGTTGGTTTCCTATCATTATTGTTATGTATTTTAATCCCCAGTAACCTTTTAGGTAAGTACTAATATTAACCTCTTATTACAGATGATGATCCTTAAACATAGAGACATAATCTGCCCAAGATCATAGACATAGTAAGTGGTGGAGCTGTCAGGTTTTTAACCACTGTGCATGCTGCCTCCATCGAAGATGAACAGAGAGAAGTGTTTTGCCTAAGAGCCATCGGCAATGTGTCTGGAAGGAATTCAGGATTAAAGTTAAAAATAGCCTAACGAGAGTGGAGTACCTTGGCCCTAAAAGCAAGGAGGGACTGAAAGGGAGAAATGGACAAAGAAGTCAAAGAAAATGGGAAAGTCAAGTGATTGGAAGTCTTCATGTGGTTTAAGAAGAGGTGGAGAGGGGGCTATGACTTAAATTTTTTTGGCTGAAAGTAACAGAAACCAATTGGAAAGAACTTAAGCAATAATAATAATAATAATAAATAGTAATGTATTGGTAGTTTCCTAAGGTAGCTCATAGAATCCTAGACTAGTTGTGCTATCAAGTGTAATGGTATACGACCAAGGATTTACTGGCCTTTGGCTCGAAAGATACCTCATACTTTTGGTATAAGCAAACTGACATTGTGATGGATTGACTTCTGATTGTGATCTTTCTTGTGTGTGATTTTGTTTTGATTATCAGATCTTTGTCTTAAATGGAGAGTCTTGCCTCCCTCTACTGATTATCAGGAAAAAGAACTTTTGGACATCTGGATTTGTGCCAACAATCCTAACCTCTTGGAAAACAGGTAGTTTTTGATAGTTTTCTAAAATTCTTTATCCATTTTTAATTCCTAAAATACATGTGTATGAAACTGGAAATGTCAGGTATACATACACTTCAGCTGTCGTCCCCTAGAACTCTTTCTAGCACGTTGCTATCTATGGAAAGATATTTCATTAGTGTGCTTTGCCATCAAGATAAAAGAGACCTGGGTGTAATGATTTGCAAACATTGGGGCCTACAGCTCTCTACTTTCACTGGTGGAGACTATAACCAGTGTTTAAGAGTTCTGCCTTTCAATTCATTTTCATACATCACAGCACCTTATCCTTCAGGAGTTTTATCCAGAAGGTGTCTCCAGGGGGACTAAACTATTAGACCATGTGCTTTTTCTGTTTAAGTCATATATTGATTTCATTGCTTTGTGCTCTTGGAGGAAGAAGTTCAGACTAAAACAGGAAAAAGACTTATTAAATATTGATGATTGTCAGTGTTATTACAAGCCCTTTTAGACTTACATTCCTTTTCTTGGGGGAGGTGGAAGAGCTAGTATACCCCTTTAATAAAGGCATCCTTAAGTCAAACATTGCTTTTCCATGGAGTTTGCTCTTAGTCCTTTCACCTACTTAAGTCAATATTGCTAACACAGATATGAGAGTAATAGCTCTTGTTGGATTATTTTTATCCAGCCTCCCCCCAAATAAAATTTGCTTCAGACCCCAAAATAATGAAATAGATAAATGCAGAACTGTTCTGATTGGAATTGACGGCTGGTAATCTAGGAGCCAAAGGTATTCATCCATTTCACACTTGTGTTCCCTACTCTCTGCAAAGCCTAGAGCTCCAGGGAGCATACTTATAAAACACTAATCTGCCCAGCCCGCATGGCTCAGCAGTTGAGCATCAACCTATGATCCAGGAGATTGAGGTTTGATTCCCGGTCAGGGCACATGGCCAGGTTTCGGGCTTGATCCCCAGCAGGAGGCAGCCGATCAATGACTCTCTCATCATTGATGTTTCTGTCTCTCTCCCTCTCCCTTCCTCTGTCTCTGGAATCAGTAAAAATATATTTAAAAACAAACAAGCACACACACTGATCTGGTCTCACTTCATTTTAGAGAAGTGAAAAATGAAGCCCAATGGGTGCTAAGAAACCTGTTCATGAAGCCCCCAGCCAAGGTCTTTTGATTCCTGACCTGATTTCAGCCCTAACTTGGAACTTAACTATCTCCCAAATAGGAATAAAGTGTTGGCTTAGTTTCACTATTAAGTCTGATACGTAGTGTTTTCATTGTCAGTGTCATTTTTATCAAAGTTGTTTAATAGAAGTTTGTTGTTTTAAGTTTCTGTGTGGAAAGACCTGTGCTTGAAAATGTAAATAAAGTTGACCCAAGCACCCAACCCTCAAAAAAAAAAAAAAGTTAATAACATTGATCACTTTTGTGAGCTAAGAACTTTTCATACAGCTTAGTATAGTGTTTTAGAGCTCAGCTCATACCCTGGAGCCAAACAGCTTGGGCTTGACTCTTAGCTCCCTTAGCTGTGAAGCCTTGGACAAGTGTCCAGTCTCTTTTTAACTCAGCTTTCCATCACCTAGAATGGGGTTTAATAATAGTATCTTTTGCATCTTTTTCTGGGTCTAGCTGAACCTCTTGTAAAGGTCAATCTGCTATGTCCCTGGTCACTGGGAGCTCCTTGATAACAAGCCATGAGAATTTTGGCTCCTCTCCACAGATCCAACCGTAGAACCAGGAATCTGTCCTCTACAGCTTCTTGATGAGTGGCGATGCCATCACTGAGCACTGTTTTAAAGCTGCATTAATTCTCTCTTTTGCACATCGAAACAGTGCCACTTGTGACGACAGGCAAGATAAATTTAGCCATGTTGACAGAAAACTGATGGACCTTGAAAGCTTAAAATGCAAAAAGTCTTTTTATATTTATAATTTCTTCTCAAGTCCTTGATTCTTTAAATATACGGACATAATTTTGGCCATCTTTATTTTATTTCTACTGAAAAGGTTATGACAAAAATATGCTTAAAGTGACAGTAAGAAATTTAAAGGAGATGTAAAGAAAAAATTCCTGATTACAGAGGCAGTTACCTAAGAGTTGACCCTTCCTTTATGGGAGATCGTTGACAGCAGGTGCGATCAGTGATTTCCAGGGGAGGAGACGTTGATCTGATGACCTCTTGCTCAGTCCCCTGATTCAGTATCGTAGGATGGGCTGTGCGTACTTTGAGAATATGCACAAAATAGATGACTGTTGGACAAAACCCTGATATATCTGTGCATTGGCTCTGGATAGAATCACATAAAGTGTGTGTGCTGAAGTGATGAGAAGTGGAGTATAGTTATTTATCAGGCAACATTTGATGAATGGAAGGACAGAGTAAGGGGTGAAAAGTGGCATTGTCTGTATTTACAGAAAATCTGGTTTATTGTTAGTTGTTAATTGACAGTAGTCAGCAGGGTTAATGCCATTGAACAGATTTGAATAAACAGTGTGTGTAACCAGAACTTTGGTAGGAAACCTAATAGCAGCTCTCTTTTACAAAGCAGTTACGTATGTTACCTCATTTCATCTTTACAATAAACCTGTGAGCTTTCTGTGCTTCTCAGAAGAGAAAATGGGAGGCTAAGAGAGGTCCAGTGACTTGCCTAGGATGCCTCCCTAGAGCTGAAACTTGAAGCCAGGCATTTTGAGGCAAAACCTGTACTCTCTCCTCCTTACCACACCGGCTCTTTGAAGGCATCCTTTACGTTGGAGAAAGCTCCAGGCCAGTACCTTATGCTGATAAAAGACACCGTTTTACAAATGGCAGTATCAGAGTGGGTGACTCGGGCAGGGTACAGTGGCGCCATCCTTTTTAGACCTCCGAACCCCCCTTTTTGTTTCCCACTTTAAGCATAGAGGGAGGTTAGACATTTTTGTCACAGTCCCCAAGAAATAGATAGCAGTACGCTTCTATTACATGCATGCTGTGTTTATCTGCAGTGAAAATCAGATTCACCAGCAGAGTAAAAAAATGATGACTGTCACTTAGCTGAACCAAAAAAGGCTGAATTTTGAAAAGGATGTCAGAAAATATCTATGGATTGAATTGCATATTAAAATTTAATTTGTTTTAAAAAATCTTTGAAGACGATTTAATGGATCTCACTTTCATAAAATTCTCTTTTCTGAATAAAAAGTTAATGCTGCCACGAGGTTCTTTTCTCCCATGAAATAGAACCCTTGTAGGTACCGCCCCACAGGTGCCTTCATCTCAACACCACAGGTGGCTACATATATAGTAGGTGTCCCCTGATTTGTTTATCTACCACTTTTCTTTGAAAATAACAATAACAACAAGTACCATATGTGGCTGGAATTAAGTGTGTGTGTGTGTGTGTTTTCACAGTAGTACTTGGATTTTATTGTAGTTCTCTATTGGTTAGGGCAAGAAAAATGTAAACTGCAGCTCCCCAAAAATAAGGAAATTGTGGGTTTGATCTGTTTCACTTTCCCGTCACTGTTCCAGATGGGAGAAGGCCCTCTCTCTCTTCTCAACCTCCTCCCCCTCCTCGCCTAACATTTAAGAACCCCTGTGTAAGGCAGGCTCTGAGAATTGACCTTAACATTTTGACCTTGACCGCATATCCCCAGCCATGAATCAAAGCCATGTCCAGTGGGAGCTGAGCCTCTTAACCTTGCCAAGCCTCGATACCAAGGTGAACAATACCATCTCTCAATTTTTCAACCGTTTGGCTAGCTCAGCTCTCAGAATATAGCCACAAAACCAAAAGTGGGGGGGAAAAAGGCCTCAAACCTTTCAAATGATATGTCCCAAAAGTCGTTAGCATTTTATGTAGCCACAACAAGGGAAGCCCTCATTCACAGCCTGTTTATTGTCATTTACACACAATTCTACACATGTTAACCCACGAGTGATTAGAAACAGTACATCAGTGAGGTCGAGAAGCAGAGTGATCACCAGAATCAGATCCACTAACAGCAGGGACAGAAGGCTGTTGCAGCAGGGGTGTCATTGGGGGGTTATTTGATGAAGGAATCTGCTGCGCCCCAAGTCTATCAGTGAGTGCATTGCATCACTGTAGTTACCGGTTGACACAGTGATCCTGAGTCATCCTACATAGGGTCCATGTGTTTCAGAAGCTGTGGACAGACATGGATTTCTATCCCCAATGTTTTGGGGAAAAATGTTCAACAGTAATAAGATAAGCTTTAATTATCTAAAAACATTTTTGTAAAAGGCCTCATTTCATGATAATTCACGATAAATGAAGCATTAGTAAATAATGAACAGTTTTTCATTCTGGTAAATATATAGCACCTTTCACATTTTCCATTAAGCTGTTTTTCCCCCCATTAAGCTCTTTTTCATGCAAATTGGAGATTTAAGGTCAAGTGTTACTTAAAGTCATCAATACGAAGCTATTCCCTTATATTCAAATTTTGGGTCTAAGACAGAGAGTGCGTCCTTGTAGAAGTAAATAATCTTTTACAGACAGTAAATAGTTTCATGTTTCCTCCTGATGTTGTTATCTCCTGTGCTTGATTGTGAAGTTGTCATAAGGCGGAACGCTTGCCTCCCATCCCCCTGGGCACCATGAGCACAGTATCACCGTCAAAAAATGAGAAAGATAAACGACTTCAGGAGTCAGTGCAAAGGTATCAGAATCAACTGGCAGAACAGCAGCTGCAGGTAAGCAGTTATTAGTTCTTTCCAAAATCTACCCTCATGCTTGAACTGTTGGTTTCATGTGTGCAAACTGACTAATGCGGTTTATCCAGGTAAAATGTGCAGCCCCTTTTGTCACCTCCTTTTAATTTTGGATCTAAGGACTGTTCTAGAGGTGAGCACAAGTTCTCCAGGGGCCCAGAGAGTTCTTAGAAAATACTACACATGTGATATCTAAGTCCAACTATACAGCAGAGCATGTGAGGAACAGGGGAATTTATTTCCATTCTGTGAATGCACGTAGAGCCTTGTAGAGGTCAGCCAGCACTTCTAAGGTCACGGGGTCAAGACTGGGACACTGGTACGCATGATTCCCAAGGTTAGGCTCTTTTGAACTTATTAAGCTGCTGCTTCAAGGGCGGATTTCTTTTAGGTAAAGAGTTCTTTAAAAAAAAAAAAGTTAGCCTGTTAATACAGAAACTCAGATTCATATTTAATTGTTAAGAAAATTCAATGAATAAAACATTACCATCAGTAGATGTAGGTAACCATGACAATTTCAAATGAAAGAAAATTTACGGAAATATTGTTTTAATCTCTGATCTAATAAAGTCATTAGATCTCCGTTTCCTTTATGGATTTAGCACCCAAATTCAACATTTTTTAATAGTATATCATGTCAGCTTTCTCAAATAGAACTTGAAAAGTCAGCAGCTTACGTCTAGATGTCAGGACATAAAATGCTCATTCAAATAGAAAACTCTTTTGCAAAGAGGGAGTTAAGAGCCCCCTGGACTTAATGCCTATTGTAATGTATTCCTGGGCTTTTGGAAGATAAGCTTTCTTTTCTGTCCCAGTTTTTGCTTTTTTTCCTTTCCACCTTGCTAGAGATTTGGCACCCAAATCACCTACACCTGGGTTCACAGCCAAAGAAACCCGACCCTCCCCTTTAGCCTGAAGTCTCAGGGTTTCTTTAGGGAAAATACTGAGAGTCACTGTGGGAACACATTCTCCTCTGCATTCCCCGTCTCCCTAAAAGCGACTCAGCTTTCTACAATTTTATTTTTATTTATTTATTTATTTTTAAATTTTATTTTTGTTTGAAATATTACAGATGTCCCTTTTTCTCCCCAATGACCCGTTCCACCTCTACAATTTTAGAGCCTCTAGTTGTTGGTTTAATCACAGGTCCGAAGTAAAGAAAGGTATCACAGCCTGCGGTTATGTTCATGAACAGTTAGATGAAGTCAGATCTTCCCCATGTGGAACGTCTTACTTTGTTCTGTTTCTTAGTTTGTTGACCACTTCTGGTAGCTTTGTGAAGGCATTCACCACACCGGGATTTGATTTTATCTGTTGGATTTTTTTCCTATAAAGGCCTGAGCTGGCCCTTGGAAGTACTAGTGCCCATCACGAAGCCTTAATTACCTTCGAGTGTGTTTAGGATTGGGTGTTTTGTTCATTAGTGAGGGAGAGGCTTTGGTGGTCGCTGGTGGAGTAACAGATTTGGGCCATCCACTCTGCTTAGTCTTTCTTTTTTGGTAGTTGACTTTTTCATAAAAAGTTGAGCCAGGTTTATAGAGTCAGTCTGTTTCTAATACAAACGAAGAAGTTTAGCGGTACTCAAGTAGAAACCTGCTTCCACCGGGTCACAGGACATGGACTCCTCGCCGTCCCCTGGCCCCTCTCTGTGAAAATCGGGCTGGCATCTCAGTATCAGGAAACAGGCAGCTACCCCCTGAGGACGGCTCGCCCGCCTCCTGCTCGCCTACCTGCTTCCCACCACCAGCGCCCACTCATCCATTGACCAGGCCTGCGGGGCAGGTATGAAAATGAACCAAACTTCCACACCCCATTCCTTACTCTCTTGCGGTTCAACTTGAATGACAGGCATCCTGATCTAAAAGAGTGAAGAGCTGACTAGGTAAATCAAAGACCTTTTTGCATCTTAGATTCTGTGGTTGTGGGCTTTTTGTCACTGACAACCGGGAGGGATAGAATAACGGCAAGGTAATATTATGGTCCTAGGGTCAGAAGTCAGCAGCAACAGCCTCTCCTCCTCCCCTCATATACCCTGGTGTGCAGAGTGACCAAGTCTAACTTCTAAGAGCACCACCCACAGGACACCCTGGTTAGAGAACATGGCGATGAGTTAGAAAACGATTCTGATAAAAGGGGCAGTCCAATGATTGGATCTGTTCTTCTAGGAGAACATGAAGTAGCTGGGTCCAGAGCTGTCATTTCAACAGATGGTGTCTTATAAAACCCCCACCGCACCCCAGCTCGTTGCATCAGTTACAACAACCGAGGGAAGTGAAGTTCAAAGGAGTTAAGTAACTTGAATCATCACACTCCTTTAGATGGTGAAGTTGGAGCTTGTTTCCTTTGTGCCTCATTCTAGCACTGATCTCATACTCTCACAGGACAAATACAGACAAATGGACCTGAGAGCCTTTACAAAGGCAACAGGCTGCACATTGCAAGTCATATTGTTAAGGGAAATACGTAAGTTGTCCCTAATAAACCTAATGGGAGCTCTCAGATTCAAGGTGGACTTGATAAGCTGTGTCAGCAGCCGGGACCCTCTTTATAACTTGTGCTTCTGAAACAGCCCATTCCACCCACTTTCTCCTTTGTGAGTAAATGAACNTGGGTATCACTTTAAATCCACTTGATGCTCTCAGTCATTATAAGACAGCTAATAACTTAATTCCCTGAATGAAGCCTACTCACATTTACCCATTTGTACAAAAGTAATGAGAATGGGTAGTATGCTTCTGTGATCGGTATGTTTGTGCAAATGGGCTGCATTGCTTATGTGCTCACTAGGTCTCTCTGGGTTAATCTCTTCTGATCGGTATTAATTTCTTATCCTACAGTAAGTCCAGGCTTTCTTATCTGGCACTGGTTACTTTTCTGGAATAAGGTCCTCCCTCTTGCAGGTTCTCCCCCTGAGCTGCTCAGTGCCCCTTATGGGTTTTCTTCATTCCCCTGCTGCTCTGAGGGCCTTCTCCCTGCCATTCTGTCTGAAGTGGCATCTGCCCCTCCCCCATCCTTCAGGATCCGAAACTAATGTCATTCCTGTATGAAGTTTTTTCTCATTTCCCTTCAAGCATGTTTTACTTTCCACCTGGTATTATGGTTACTTGTGTATATAATGTCTCCCATATTAGACTACAAGTTTTTAAAACAAGAGACCATTTTTATTTATCTTTGCATTCCCAGCAACACTTAGGCCTGGATCTTTTACCTAACAGGTGTTTTACCAAACAAAAGTAAAGGATTAGAGGAATTTGATTTATGCAGAATTCTTTATAAATAGGCACAAAAATAAATATTTTTCATTTGATTGGATTGGTTGACTCTACATAGGTTACACTTAAAACCTTTTTGCATGTGTAATTGGAAACCAAAATGTCCTTACACATGCTCAGAATAAAATGTTGCATTTGGATGGGAGTGCAGAGACTGCATTTGGATTTTATTTGTCATGTTCATAGTCTTTGCATCAAATGAACAGCCTTTGTAAAACTCCATGCCTGTTGAAAAAGAACTCCAGCAATAGCAGTCTGTTTCTTTGTAGTGCTCACGTGGACACACAAAATGAAATACGTAGTTGAATCTGACAAGTCTCACACTGGCTGTTTTAGCGGTAAATGTGCTGAACATTTAGCTGTGTTTTCCAATTGGAATGGCATATCTGAGCACAACTTTGCAATGAAGAATGTGAGCACATTTTCCCGTTTACAATTTAATCTTTTCAATGTGTCATTATCCTGTAGGATGCTGAGATTCCAAAAATGTATAACTACGCAGACAGATGTTTTAGAAGATATATTTATTCATCAAGAGTACTTTCAGCCTCCTTACATAAACTGCCATAATCTAAAATTTATGGCACCTGAAGCCCTTTGTCTAACAAGAGGCTATTATACTCACTGTAGCTGAAATGTTTTACTTTATTACGCTCGCTACAAAGGCCTCATTTCTCTGTGGTGATGCATTGGTTTTCCATAGAGTGTGTAATATATTCACACTTGTGGGTGCGTGTTCACAGCGCAGCACGTGAGACGTTAAAGGAGCTGCTCACAACAAACCAGTTGAGAAGTTTCTTGAAGGTGAGCAGCCTGGGCTCCTCCCACCAGCACCTCTGGCTCCCCGTTGGGCACAGTAGGTGTTTCACAAAAGCTCTTCAGCTTCTTAGCTTGAATTGCTCGTGCAGATTACTCTCTTATCCTTTCTTGAGGAATTGATGTCACACTACCTGACAGAGCGGCATTCTCAGTTTACTGAACAAACGGGACAGCAGCAGCAGTCAGAGGGACGTGAGAACAGTCGAGCTCCAGGGCAGTGTGCTGTGGTGAGACCAGGGCGGTCCTTGCTCCTGGCTTCAGGAGTCAGCCTGCTCTGCCCTGGGGACTGGGCCCAAGGCACACCATCCACTGTTTGCTCCTGGGTTTCACAGAAGTGACCAAATGCTGCCGCCGAGGACCCGTAGAAATGTGATTCCAGAAGGAGCTCATCCTTACTCCAGGAGGGATAGAAATAGCTTTGACAGTGGCAGGCAGTCTTGTCACATGTCAGTAAGTCATTTCTATTCCATTACAGAGGTGGAGAAATAAGTAGAGGTTCAGGTGTGTTGCCTGAAATGATTTTTAATGGAGGGAATACTAATTTGGGTTTCGGTGCAAATATGCCTATTTGATCTCTAACCTACAAAAATTCCTTAAGTACCTGGACTGTATGTACATCCATTTCTCAGTTAGTGCGCGTGCTCATCTGGACAGTCAGAGGCTGCTTGATATCCTGGTTGCATCTCAGGACTGTTTTTTCTGAGTCTGCTTGGGGCAGGATACAGGTGTTTGACTTCCTTCAAAGGCAAGCTACTCACTAGACCTAATCTCCCCTCTTATTCAGGACCCAACTTTACATTTTGAATTCAGTTTTAGGATCTATAGTTCACAGTTGTTCTGATTTTGAGTTCAAAGGGTGGGGAGTGGTCTCTTGACACACCTGAGGGTTCTAATTCATTCTTAGAGAACTGACTGATGTTTGTCTATGACCTTTGCTTCACAGTGGTCTAGAATCATCCTTCCCCTATTCAGAGACTCCTCAATTGTGTGCTCACCATTCAAAATCTTTCCTTCTGTCACCTGGTATTTGACCCCCTTTACCCTTTTTGTTGATTTCCCCTTCTTTCTGGTCACCACCATTCTGTTGTCTCTATTTATAAGTTTGGTTCTTTTTTGTTTGTTGCTATTTCCTTTATGTGCCACATATGAGTGAAATCATATGGCTCTTGCCCTCTTCTGTCTGACTTATTTCACATAGTATAATACTCTCAAGATCCACCCATGTTGTTGCAAATGGCAGTACTTCATCTTTTTTATGGCTGTGTAATATTCTATCATATATATGTACCGCATCTTCTTTATCCAGTTATCCATTGAAGGATAGTTGGGTTGTTTCCATGTCTTGGTTATTGTAAATAATGCTGCAGTGAACATAAGGGTACATATATATTTGGCTAATTTTTAATTGATTGCTTTTTTATTGTTGAGTTTTAAGAGCTCTTTGTTCACTTTGTATAACATTTTGGTCTTTTACCAGATGTTTATTTTGCAAACATTTTCTCCTAGTCTGTGGCTTGTCTTCTCATTGTCTTAATCCATTGGTTTTTATAACTTAAATTCATTTTTTCACATAAGCAAGATAAGTTTCAGAGAGTAAGGCATGTGGGTTGAGAAGTCAATAAAGATAAAGAAATGGGAGCCATTAGTAGTAAGCTACTTTAGGAAATTTTTACTGAAAGGGCAGAGAAGATAAGGTTGAAGCTAAGAAGGTAATTAGCGTTGGGAAAATAAAAATAAAATTGTGGTTGGGAGAGATTTGTCAGTGCTTCTGGACTAAGAGAAAGGAGCCAGTGAAATTGGAGAAAGTTCACAGCAGAGATGAGGCCTGATTGATGTAGGAAAAACAGGAAGGAAGGATGACTAGGGCTGAGATTGTGGGAGATATGTTAAAGGTATTCACACACATCTAATAAAAGGATATTCAATATTTGCATAGTTGGAATACTCAAAGAAAAAGTAAAGGAAAAACACATTTTTTAAAGATATAAATCAGAAAATTTCAAGTTTTCAAGAAAAAAACGGAGCCTAAAGCTACATATTTGAAACAGTGCACTGCATGGTAGGGAAAACTGTCCCAGAATAGTAAACAATAAGGCATATTCTAGTAAAGTTACTCAACTGTAAAAAAAAGAATCCTTTGGTGAATAGGCATAAAGATCAAATCATTTATAGAGAAAGAAAAAGATTGGCTTCAAATTCTCTACAAAAATCTCAGAGCCAGGTGGTAGTGAAGTAAACTATAAGATTCTCAAGGAAAGGAGTTGTAAACCAAGAATTTTATATTCACCATACCATTTTCAAATAAAAAGCCTACAAATAAATAGTTTTGAAAATAGGAAAAAAACACACCTCAGGAAATATTGTTCTCATTATTCCTTTTGAGGAAACAACTAGAGATGGAACTTGAACCAACCAAAAAATACCTGAAAATTCTCCAATAAAGAACTGGAAATAAGCATTGACTGCACTTAACTATAGAAATAAAACTAAAACTTATGTGACATTAGGTACCAAATTGAGTGTAAATGTCCTGGAAATGTAGTAATAATTCAGCTAAGGAAAATAGGAGATCAAGAATGAAAGGTGAAATGTAAGTTGTTTGCCTCATCTGTACTGGTAGATTTTTTTTTTTTAAAATATATCTTTATTGATTTCAGAGAGAGGAAGGGAGAGGGAGAGAGAGAGATAGAAACATCAATGATGAGAGAGTTATTGATCGGCTGCAGCCTGTAACCCGGGCATGTGCCCTGACCGGGAATCGAACCCCGATCGCCTGGATCCTAGGTCGATGCTCAACTGCTGAGCCAGGCCCAGCTGGGCTGTACTAGTAGATTTTTTTACTAAGCAATTTAAACATACTTTTTGGTACTAATATAAACACTAATAAAGATAATATTATCAATAAATATCAGGGAGTGGAAGAAAATAGGGAAGAGAAAATAAGTATTGTCACTATTCAGAGTAGGAAACTTATAGATACTCTCTAAAATAGAAAGAACTAAGAATAAGAGTATTATATAAAGTTATTATTATAATGGTAGTCATAAGGGAAGACCTAATATAAGAAGTACCTACACAAAACAAAAAAATGGATTAAAAACTTAAGAAAAATTATAAAAACAAAATCATATCCAACTCATACCAAACACACATATGATATCAATAAATATAAATGGCCTAAGTTTACCTTAATAAAGGATAAGGAATTCAGGTTGTATCACATAGCCTGCACTATATACCAGACACACATCTAAAATGGTAATTCAGAAGGGTTAAATGCAGATAAATATACAAAAATAAAACAGGTGCCCAGACTAAAATCAGAGAAGTTGAAATTCAAGGGGAAAACTATTAAACGGTACAAGGAAGGACATTTAATTAGGTTAAAATCATTAGTTCACAGTGAAGATATATCAGTTCCAAATCTCTCACATTAGCTAATGTAGTATGGAGTTCCATAAAGCAAAACCTACAAATTATACATGGAAAAAGAGGAGACAATCATACTAGTAATAAGAAGCTTTAGTTTGCTGTCAGTAATACCTAATAATTAATAATAATAACAGCAACAACATATAATTGATATAGATAAAACTCTGTATTATCAAAATAGAAGATGCACTTTTTATTGAGTACTCTTGGAATATTCACAAGAATGACTCTATGCTAAGCCAAAATTACAAATGCATATACCTTTTGACCCAGAAATTTCACTGTTAGTTATTGATTGTATAGATGTACTCACACAAATATGAAATTACCTGTTTACTAAATTACCTGTTTTACAATTCATTGCCAAATATTTCGTATAGTAAAATATTGAGAAGACCTAAATGTCTATCAACAGATCTGGTTAAATAAAATGTTGTGCAACAATGCATTAGAATACAATGCAGCTAAAAAGGGGGATGAAGAAGCTTTTTAAGTACTAACAAAAGGATCACTAGGATATATCCTTAAGTAAAAAATCAAGATGCAGACTATGTGAAGAGTATACCACCATTTTTCCCTACCTCAAAAAAGTGGGGGAAATTGCCTTGAAGGTGCCTGCAGTTTATGAGATGCACCAAGGGGCATTTGGATCTGAGCATAGAGGAAAAGGCACCATTTCAAAATCTTTGCAGAGATCCAAAAAAATTTCAGCAGAGAACAGATCCAACCCTTAGTAAGAGTCAGGACTCCAATTTGGGGATAGGGTACTTACGAGAGCAAGGTAAATATTCTGTCCTAGAGAATCTGGACCGAGCTCGATGCCACAATGGATACCACAGTGAAAGATAATGGGTGCGTTGAAAAGAGGTGCAGGTGGACCCCTAACCAAGGTTTCAACCCAAGGGTAGTGAAGCTGGGCCTGGGGTGCAGAGCCTGCGTTGTTGTTTATCTTCCCTCTGTGTATTTCATTATCATCTCATCGTTGCAGGGTAACAATGATCACAGCCAGTTTTACTTAAAAGGTGCTTCTTTTTCAGGGAGAGGAAATACTTCCTCTCTCTAGCCATGCCTCTGAGTACAAGGCAATAGCTGGATGGTGGGGATAAGGCAGCATCCAGTGACGAGGGACACAGTTAAGGCCACTCTACCCTTAAAAGTTCCTTGAAGCTCAGGCCTAGAGCTCTGAACTAGACGGAGCTATTGCTGAAGATCAGAATTCATTCCAGATGCTGGAACCTCAAAGTAGGGGACAAAGAGTCCCCCCAAAGGGGAGTTGAGGCCTGTGGAGATGGTGTTTGATTCAGGGGCACCCTGAACTTGCTCAAAAGACATTGGATCCCCAATGTTTCAACAACCATCGGTTCTCTTGTACTATCCAGTCCGCACCTAAACTGAAAGGGACCCCTTAAATAATTATCAGTGAGGATATACAATCTCAAAACTTCTTTTTTAAGAAATGAAGAATATTCAATTAATGTAATATGCTGATTGAAAGTTATTTGTACTGACATTTGTCTAATGACTTTTTCCATAAAAGCCTCAGTTTATACCAACAAGCAAGATCCCCGAGCTCACTACCATTTGCCGAATTTCAGCATCTAAGGTGAGTAATTAAAGAATTGAGCCATTTGTGTGATGCTTCTCTATAAAGGATAAGATTTATCAAGGGCCAAATGTCGTCATGGTTTATGAGGTTCAGAAAGTGAAGCACTATTGAATTTTTTAAAAACTGTCACCATTTTTTTTCTTATTAGACTGATGCATGTTTGTTAGGTAAAATTCAGAAAATCAAATATAAATAAGAAAATTTAAATCACCTATTATCTTCCTGGAGCTGATGACTATTTTAAATATTTTAATGTATTTCTTTCCAGTATTTTCTAGGATATATATGATATATACTTATATATTTAATCATATATATATAGAGAGAGATTGATTTGTCTGAGGATATATATTTGCCTAGAAATGCATTGTATATGTAAGTCCTACATTGTTTCTTATGTTCCCTAAATGTCATATTACATTATTTTCCTCAAATGTGTGTTATATAAAATTTAAAGTGTAGAGAGAATATTTTTAATCTTTAGATAAATCTTTCAATTACACCATCACACAGAAAATAGGGAAAACTCTATAATTTTAGCTACTCACATTTTTTAATGGGCAGGTGATAGGATTGATAACCCCCAGCCAACATTTAGATAAGTAGATTACTGATATATATATATATATATATACACACACACACATACACACCAGGGAGCCAAAGGCAAGTAAATCTGTTGGGAGGATGTCAGGAAGTACATTGTTCTCAGTTTGAGGTCTTCTGCATCCTCAAAATTGGATTTGTTGACTCAGCCCAGCTCTGCTGAGTCAGATTCTGAATTAGCCATTGCAGTGATACACATTTGCTGAAGTCTGTTTCCAAGTTTTTGCTTTTTAAGGTTTTTATTAGTAATAAATATCACCTGATGTTATAAGGTTTTTAGAAAAACGTTGCTTAATTGTAAATAAGCTGACTACTGAAAAATAAAAACATGTTCTTTGTTGTTTAAGGAAAAGACAAAAACTCGGAAAATCAGGCCTTCAGATAATGAGTTGAAGCGTGAGTCTCTTGCATCCTTTGAGCTCTCGGTCAGCCACAGAAGCTGGAAGAGAAACACAGAAGGGAGGGACTCTGATGTGGAGTTCGTCTCAGAGACTAAAGTGATGAAGTCTACAAGGAAGAAGGTGGAACCACAGCAGCGACATCTGGCAGCCGTGCCAGAAAGCGTCAGACTCCCTGAGACATCCCAGGTGTTTTTTTTTTTCTTTTCTGGTTCACCAAATGTGTAGTAATTCATCTGCTCCAGATATAGCATTTGGTAAAGGTTTCACTTCATTTTCACATTTTTAAAGCACTCATGCATACACATTGTAATCTGAGTTTCCTGGACAAGGTCCCAATTTCAGTTTTTTCTTCTGAGTTCTGTCTTTCGGTGGAGAAGTCAGATTGCTAGTAACAAATGTACTACCCAAGAATGTCCACGTATCCAAATGAGTTTGGTTCTTTTATTTATTTAAATATGTTCTTCTTGATTTTAGAGAGACAGAGGAAGGGAGAGGGAGAAAGAAACATTAGTTGGTTGCCTCCTGCACAGCCCTAAATGGGGATTGAGTCCAAAACCAGGAATCGAACCAGCAACCTCTCAGTGCATGGGATGATGCTCAGCCAGTTGAGTCACAGTGGCCAGGGCAAGTTTGTTTCTTTTAAAAGAATCACTGTACTTTCATTCTTACAATGTTATCCTTATTTAAGTCCTATTTTGAGAATTAGCCCTCAGATTCAGTTTATAATAATGACAATATCCACAACTGAGTGATCATTCACCCTATGCCAGATTCACTGCTAAATGATTGCAGACATTATTATCTCACTATCATTTTAAATCTTTTATAAGTCAAAATTTATGGCCTAGTTTATCTGCCTTGTTCATCAAACTTGACTTCTAATGTCTTTTTCCTGTTTCCAAAAATTAAATTCACCCTTCAAGGGTGGATATTGGCCACCATAAAATATATTAAGATGTAGTGCCATAGGCTCTGAAAGCAATAAACTGCTTCAGTCAGCAAATATCTGCTGAACTTCTGCCCTGTGAAAGATTCTGTATTATGCATTGTGGGAGACAAGGTATTTTAGGTATGGTTCCTTCTGAAGCAATTATTCTGAACAATAGTTACATTACAGAAATATCTCTCACATTCCTTTGTAATGTCTTTGGCAAATGGTGTATAGACTTTTCTTGGAAATCCTTATTGATGGAGACTCATTACCTCCTAAGGCAGCCTTTTCTCATTCCATTTTTGAGTACCTGGTTTTCTTAAAATATTTAAAGTCCAGTTCCCTATAACTTTGAAGTTTTGGCAATAAATCATTTTTTTTTGAGACAATAGAAGCCAAGCTGAATCTGATACAATCATCAGCATTTTACTCTGAATTATGTATCATATACATACAAGTTCATATATTCAGCAGATGCTGATTCAGCACACTTGCTATGTCCAAAATACTGCATGTTAGTAATGCCCTGTATAAAAATTAGTTTTATCCCTTAACCCTGACTTCCACTAATTAACTGTGAGATTTCAAGATTTGGGATTTGTTGGTGTATTTTATGGGTAGGTAGCATGCTGTAGCAACACACAAATGATTAACAAGTTGAAGTGCGCCCAAGTGTTAGAATATGACATTTTAGATTTTAAATATAGAGATTCACTTAGTGTGAGTGTGTGTGTGTGTGCGTGTGTGTATACAAGTATTCAGTTAGGGCATATATACCTGATCCCTGCCCCATCGACCTTACATTGAGACAGACAATCCAGTAATTACCAGAAAAATGTAAACTGCGACTATGGCAGTTTTTATGACTTAGTAGCATGAGTACTTATAACAGGGAATTTGACTTTATCTGGGAGGACAGGGGACATCTTCCCTGAAAAAGTGATGGATGAACTTTTAGGATAGAATTCCAAATGAATTGACGCAAAGAGAGGAAGAGCATTTCTAACTGGTTAGTGCAAACAGCATTTGCTAAAGTGGGAACATGGGGAACACAAAGTACCTTGGGAAGACAAGTAAGCTACAGTGGGGCAGAGAGATGGAAAGAGATTGGTGTGAGACAAGTACAGAGTACCAGAACCATGCAGGTTCTATATATGACCTTTGATAAGAGATTTTGCGTTTATCCTCAGAGCAATGGGAAACTGTTGAAGAGCTTCAAGCAGGGAAGTGGCGTGACTAGATTTTCATTTAGAAACGATTGATTTGGCTGAGTTATGGAAGAAGGGTCAGTAGAGAGCAGAGCGAATGCGGCCACAGCAGTTAGACTATTATAGTGGTTGACTGAGAGGCAATGGTAGTGTGGGCTAGAGTAATGGTGCGGGAGTGGAAGGAAGTGGATCCATTTGTTCCTTCTGTGTTGTCTTGAGGAGGGGACACTGACCCTTCTTGGTGATGTATTGGATATAGAAGGTGAAGCAGAGAGAAATGGCAAGAATGACTACAGAATCTCTGGCTCCTGCACCTGGGTGGATGGTGATTCCATTCATTGAAGTAGGAAATCCTAGCCCGGCCAGCGCGTGGCTCAGTGGTTGAGTGTTGACCCATGAACTGGAGATCACAGTTCAATTCCTAGTCAGGGCACATGTCTGGGCTTTAAGCTCTATCTCCACTAGGGGGGTGCAGGAGGCAGCCAATCAATAATTCTCATCTTTGATGTTTCTATCTCTCTCTCCCTATCCCTTCCTCTCTCTGAAATCAATAAAAACATATTTTATTTATTTTTTATTATTTATTTATTTATTTTTAAAATTTTATTTTTGTTTAAAATATTACAGATGTCCCTTTTTCTCCCCAATGACCCGTTCCACCCGGTCCCATCTCCCTCCCCAGTCCCTCTCCCCACATTGTTCGTTCCCTTGGGTTGCGCATATATGCATATAAATTCTTTGGTTACTCTCTCCCCTTCCACCCACCCTCCCTCCTCCATCCCTCTGACATTCGTCAGTCTCATCTATGCTTCCATGTCATTGAATCTATTCTGTTCATCAGTTTATTAAGTTCTTTAGATTCCACGTATAAGCGAGATCATGTGATGTTTGTCTTTCTCTGCCTGGCTTATTTCACTTAGCATAAT